GGACATCTCCCCTCATGGGGTGCGAGGGACGTCTCCCCTCACGGGTGCAAGGGACGTCTGTGAGGGACGTCTCCCCTCGGGGGTGCGAGGGACGTCTCCCTCAGAGGTAGGTGTGAGGGATATCTCCCCTCGGGGGCTGCCTTTGACTCCTCGGTGGGTGGGTGGTCGCCGCCGAGAATCGCACCCGCCAGCACGCGTGGCTACGGACCCGTGGGATCGCACCGGGATAACGGAGGTGACTCCTGCAAACGGGAGCGGGCGTTAGGAGAGCTGGGCGCAGGCCGATGCGATGCTTACGGGGCGGGTTGCAGTGGTAAAAATGTGAGAAAGAACAATGAAAAGTGTTTTGGGCTCTTTTGAAGTGTTACATAGAATGAGATACTTTCTTAGTTCTGATTTCATGTGTGGGGACCAGACAAGGAAAGAAGTTGGGCTGTTTTCGTTCCCCAGATATAAACTTCACTGGAGAAGTGACGACGCTGAAGTCTCAGGACAGAAATCTTCCAAAATCCCCTTCCTATTATAGCAAGATTGAGGAATAAAGAAGAGTGTTTGCTCGTAGATGGTGGAGTAATCATAAAATTACACTTAAAATCTTCACCAATGTCTCACCAAACCAGTTCCCGTTAAAACTGAATTCACAACAGAAAGCGAAACTCTTGATAACTAACTGCTGGGAAAAAAAAAGTTTAATAGATTCAGACATGGTATAATTGAGACATTTGTACCATTTTCTCTAGAAATTATATGGACGTATGATATATAGACTAAAAAAGACTACTGAGTTATTAAGGCTTTGAGGAAGTTCCCTCTTTTTTATCTGTAGGTTTTATCAAAACAAAATGGGAAACTTGGGTTGCAAAAGCTGTTGAGAAACTTTGCCATAGGCATATGAGTGTGTCTTTTGAGATTAGAAAATCAAAGTTAACAGTCCCTGAGATTCTAGTCTGCATCCTGGAGTGCTGAGTCCTTTCCCGCCCTGATCCCACGACCTGGCATGAAAACAAGGCCAGAATAGTCCTGTGGTCTTGGAGAAGACCTCTGACTTGGTTTGTGGTTTATTATATGTTCTGTGGTATAGGGAAGAGGAAAAATAAGAGCCTTTTCACAAATAGACTGGAACGGTGTGGATGTTTATACAAATAAAATATGTTTTTTCTGTGCTTTCAATAATACAGGGTAATTTAAAAATATGTTATTTAAGCTATATATATATAATTATATTTTTTAAAGGTCAGAATGTGGCTATCCCACTTTTTTTCAGCAGCCCCAAAGACTCCTCTTAAATAAATAATGTACAAAATAGTTTTTAGAAGGTTGGTGTCTGGTTTAAAGATGCTCTGAATAGAGTCCATTTCTTCTGCTTGGAATAAATGGGGAAGCACAAGTCAGACTGAGCTGGTCAAGTAAGTGCCAGAAAGGTATGAGGCTGCCACCGACTTCCCCGGTTATTGATCCTCTGCTAAAAAAGACCCTGGTCTCTGGAGATAACCGTAGCCTGGCTCCCTGCAACACCGTAGGTTACTGTGTCTATGCCATAGGAATAATTGTTTGCAGCAAAAAGGTGATTTGTAAAACGGTGGTAAATGGAGCCATGAGCTCTGCTTGTCTCCTCTGCAGCTTCAGACCCCACCACCCATCGTGACCAGCTCCGTGCAGGAGAGGGACCTTGCGGGTGACGGACGTTTCCACCACTTTCTGAAGCTGCGTGGCCGGGATGGGGAGGGCGGTGGGTGGGTGGCTGGGAGGGACGCGGCAGCACCCAGCTGAGACTTAACATATGCTGGCACATGCACGCAGGGAAGAGCTGACATCTTCCCTACCTGCCAGGAAAGTCAGCGTGCAGCCCCCACGGGCAGCCCTCGGTGCTGCTGGGTGGGCAGCGTGTCCCCCCCAGTCTGGCAGGAGGTTCTGGTGGGATGGGGGCACAGGGTGCCCTCCTGCCTGCAGGCAGGCTGCCTGTCACCTGCCCGCACCCTCCAGCTCTGGCTTGTGCTGGTAGCTCTGCGGCCGGCACTGGGCCCTGCCGTCTTGCCAGTGCCCCCCAGCTTTTGGGTGCTGCCAGCCCTGCCCCAGGCCCTTCTGTGTGGTGCCTGTGCCTGGGCGGCGGTGGCACGCCTGTCACAGTGTCACCGGGGCTGAGGGTGCCGGGGGGCTGCAGCGCTTCGGCTAAACCACAGCTCTGCAGCGGAGATGCCACGCGCTCAGGGGAGCTCTGAATTTAGCAGAAATTGAAGAAGGGGGAGGGAAGTAATGACAAGCGCAGACCCCATGTTAGCTTGCTCACCAGCAGGCTCCTCGCCCTGACTGGGCTGAATCTCAGGCTGGTTGTGACCACTTTTTAATTCAGATCAAATAATATAAACCAAACTTCTGGACTGCTTGCAGAAAGGTTTGTTGTTCTCAGTACAGCTGTCATCAGCAACGCACATTTTGGTATGACTAATAGGTCTTTTTTGGGTGATGTCTATAAAAAAGGAAGTGGAAAGTTGTTAATGTGAGTGAGGAGCGATGTGCCCTGCCTGTGCTCGCCAGGCTGCCACAGGTGCCAGGACTTGGCCACACTCAGAGTCAGTAAAATTGTTGAAATCACAGCAAGGAGCACCTCATGAGACTTTCTTTTGCCTCGGTGCCCATGTACGAGCTGTGCTTCCCTGCTGGTGTGTGGGATGCAGGGTAGCTCTGTGAGCCAACCCGGCCGGGGTCTGCACTTGAGCTGTCGCTGAAGCAGGAGAGAGACCCGGATGCAGAAGTCACAGCTGCAGGGAGCTGGGAGGAAACCTTACTTGTTGCAAACAGCTAAATTAGTTGCACACACTGGATTAAATAAATTAGATGCACACAGTATTGTCAGTGCTCAATATCGATTTCATTTCCACAGCACTCAAGAGACACCTTGAATTCTCTAACATCTCTGCCTGGCACGGAGAAAGGCAAATTCCCACTCTCTTTGCTTTTTCTGCCAGCTGTCGTGGGAAGCAGAAGAACCTGCATCCTACCACCTGGAGAATGTGTGCAGTAAGGCAGTGTTGCTAGCGCCTGTTCCTCAGGGGCGCAGGCTTTCACAGCGCTCCAGGCGCTGAAGGCTGTTTTATGGGTGAAAGTGTTTTTTCTCCTCCAGACCACAGTGTTTGGTGGAGTCAGCAGCAACTGGGAGATGCGGGGACTCCTCAGAAGAAGGGGTCTGTCCCGTTCCAGCTGACGGTCGCGCCTGCCCACTTGGTCCTGATTGCCATCTCCACGGACGGACACCTCTTCTCTGGGCCGCTTGGGTCTTCGCTTTGGTCCTCTTCCCAGTGATGCGAATGAGTGTCTGAAAAGGAAACGCAGTTAAAAAAAAAGTCTAAAAAACCCAACCCCCCTTAAAAAAGTTTCCGAAAAGGTTAAAAGCAGAACTGGCTGGATTGCTGCAGGTGTGCTGCCCACCCTGCCCCAGGAGGGAGCTCGGGGCAGCACTGACTTGGCCTCCCCTGTCTGGTGGGGGCGGCCGCCCCCGCCGTGTGGGCCCCCATCTCAGGAAATTCAGGTGCTATAAATACAGCTCTCGATTCCTTGCAGGGTACATTTGCATATTGTTTTCTGAACACATATGCACATCCTTATCTGCAGCCATGCTGCCTATCATGACTGTGAATCTCGATTCACCCTTCTTTCCTGCAAATTCAGCCTTTAGTGTAATGTTTTCAAGTTTCTTACTTTACTTTAAATGCCGTAGTGAAAGGAGAGCGAGGTAAAGGGGCTGGGCATTCACGAAGTGAAGGTCAATGGTGCACAGTGGCACAGAGAAACAAGAAACTCTCATCCTAAGCATGGAGCCTGGTTTGCAACCCAATTGATACTACAAGGAGCAGTTCACTCCTCCTGGTGTGGATTTAAAACTTGAGGGGAATGAGGGCCATGGTGGCACCTGGCTGCTGGGCAGGAAAATACCGACTTAAGTCTAAGTTAGATGCTGAAAACAGGCTGTTAACCCATCCTGCATGCCAGCATCACTGCATTAGAAGTAGGTTTATTACAAATTTGGAATTAATCATGAAACAATTCTGCTTCCTGTTTTATTTAAACTTTGCACTTACAGGAACGCTCTCTCCTGGGATTTGTCCCATGGGAGGGGTGGGTGTCTGTGGGTTTTCCTTCTCCTACTGGTTGTTCTAGGACACTTAGTCAGCAGAGCATTCATATTGGACTGATGGGGGCTTAACAGCAACGGAAGATGAAACACGGTTTTAAACAGGACATCTGTATCAAGTATTTAACGCAGAAGCGCCAGCTGCATCTTGTGTCCTGAAGAACTGTCCCTTCCCCAATACAAGCTCTTTGGCCACATCGGGGAGTAGGGGAAGAAATGGCGAAGTCCTGAGTGGGCCCCATGCTGGGACGAGA